TCCCCCCATTGTTCATACTCAAGGTATATACGTTCCAAGAGTTTTGATGTGTAATCTCTTTCACTTTACGTTATTTACATTTTATTGGATTTGGTGATGACTCTCAAAGCATAATAAAACAATCACAATAATTATTCAATCAACCAAACATACCAAATTAATTCTTGAATAATTAGTGACCACATATTATTTAATGTTGAACCCTTTTTAATTCTACCTCAGAGTCAAAGACACCTTAAACGCATAATGCGCCAAAAATCCTATCCCTCGGTGTTAAAACACCTTAAGTGCACAAAGGCACCAACATACAATTTATTCCTTGTGTACATAGACACTTATATAGCTCTTTCCTCATGCTTAAAGCATCAATAAAAATTATTTAAACCATAATAAAATTCTTTTTCAATATTCCCAACATAATAAAACATGTAGTTTAATTACTCATGCATTCTAACATGCCATAAATTAAAGTGTGGTTCAAACACAACATGCCAAACATTAATTTTCCAACTATTAATCCATCTCAAATAAATCATACTTTCTAATTTAATCACCACTATCAATAATCCACAATTTCCAATCATAAATCTTAGCATGATACTATTTAGGATTAATTAAATCAAGTCTAGCATAATACTACATCACCAAAAATATGCTAAGTACGCGTACGTACCTTGAGTACGATTTTAAAATTGCCACGACTAGTAGAAATTGCTTACTTCAAAGTCTCCTACACATTAAATTCATAATAGAGTATTAATATCCACTCTAAACAAATTTCCAGCAATATATACTATTTTACCCCTCATAATTCAATTAAAGTAAGTTGAAATTATATTTAAAACACCATAATTAAATCCCAATTAATGGGTAATTAAAATTTCTTCAAGAAACATAATATTAAGTGTTCTACATAAAATTCTAGCACTTTATTAAAATTAAAACTTGATGTGATTAAGCTTTAAAACACTTAAAACAAAGGTCTACCCCATTTTACATCATAATCCTTCAATAACTCATAAATCAAGAACCTAAGGTTTCAAAAATTGGACTTTTTAACTAAAAACCAAAATCTGAAAATTAATTATCATAATTACAATAACCAAACATCAAAATTAAACCTCCAAACTCATAATTTACAATTAGATTAAAGCCTAGATTAGATTTGGGTAAGAAATATTTGATTTTTAAAACCTTTTTTTTTCGAAAGCTGTGACTGCCTACAGCAGGTCGGGACCACTGCCGGCTGCTGCCAGCGCCGGTGGTCGTCGTTACTGCCGGTTGGTGCTGGTGGTCGGCGGCCCACCGGTGGTGGTGGTGCGCAAGCAAGAAGGGGAAGGGAAGGAGAGAGAAAAAGAAAAAGAAAGATGAAAATAAAGAGAAAAGCGAGAGAAGCTTACCTTGGGTTTTCTCCACTCTGGGCAAAGTTGAATTGGCTCATAAGAGGGATATTTATATCCCTTCTCTATCACCCCTTTTTACCCTAAGCTTTCCTCCTTTAGTTTTTCCTAATCCCTTCCTTACTAAAACTTGTTAAAATCATAATTTCTTAAAATAAAACCCCAACTTCTATTAAATAATTAATTAAACAAACTTTCCTTTAGTAAAATATTCCCAACTTACATGGGATAAATAATTAAAACATCATAATTAAAATACTAAAATTATTTAAATACCCTTATAAAATACATATTTTAAATAAAATACGTATAAAAATACGGGGTATTACAGTCTACCCCCTTAAAAAAAGTTTTGTCCTGAAACTTGGGAAACGAAATTCAAAACTTTTCCTTTTTATGTATAGTATTGCTGTACTTTTTGTCATTATTTTACTCCTTTATGTCTCTTTGAGAGCACTAATAATTAAAATACTTAATAGAATTTGTGCAAAAAGCACCAAAAATATGTAAAATATAGGGAAAAAGCGCGAAATTCTATCGCATTCTACCCCCCTTAAAGAAAACGAGTTACGCCCCCGTAACTTAACATACCTGAAATAGCTTCGGGTATTTCTTTTTCATTTCATCTTTTGCCTCCCAAGTGGCTTCCTCATATTCTTGGTTAGACCAAAGTACTTTCACAATGTTAACGTTCTTATTGCGTTTACTACGCACTTTACTGTCATGAATCTTGACAAATCTCTCTTCATAAGTTAAGCTTTGATCTAACTCAATGGTTTTGGGTTGTAGCACATGGGATTTATCAGGAATGTACCCTCGCAATCAGGACTCATGAAATACATCATGTACTTTACTAAGCTCCATAGGTAAGGCTAACATATAAGCTACTTTGCCTATTCTTTGTAGTATTTCATATGGACCAATGTATTTTGGACTGAGCTTTCCTTTCTTTTCAAATCTCATCACTCCTTTCATTGGTGACACCTTGAACAACACTTTATCACCAATTTCGAACTCTTCTTCCCTTCGCTTCGAGTCTTCATAGCTCTTTTAGCGATCTTGAGCTGCTTAAATTTTAGCTTGAATTTCCCTTACTTGTTTAACTGTATCTTCAATCATTTGAGGCCCTTTCACTAATGTCAATCCAACAAATTGGACTACGACATTTCCTCCCATACAAAGCCTCAAATGGTGCCATTCCTATGCTCGCATGGTAACTATTATTGTAGGAAAATTCCAATAAATCCAAATTGTCTTCCCATCCTCCCTGGAAGTCTATTACGCAAGCTCTCAACATGTCCTCCAAGGTTTGAATGGTTCTCTCAGTTTGCCCATCTGTGGCAGGTTGAAATGTCGTACTCATCTTAAGTATTGTACCAAAATTTTCTAGTACACTTTTCCATAATTTTGAGAGAAACCTGGAATCTCTGTCAGATACAATATCTTTTGGAACCCCATGTAACCTCACAACATGTTTGATGTAAGCTTTCGCAAAGTGCTCCATCTTCCAAGTTTCTTTCATTGGTATAAACACTGCTGATTTTGTAAGTCTATCCACCACTACCCAAATGGTATCATTTCCACTCTTTGACTTAGGTAGGCAAGTCACAAAATCCATTGAAATTCAATCCCACTTCCATCCTGGAATTTCTAATGATTGCACAGTCCCTAGAGGTCTCCTATGCTCTATCTTCACCTTTTGACATGTTAAACACTTTGCCACAAACTCTGTAACCTCATTTTTCATTATAGGCCACTAAAACATCTTCTTCAAATCCTAATATAGCTTGTCTTCTCCCGGGTGTACAAAGTAAGGTGTATTGTGGCCTTCTTCTATCAACTTTCTCTTCACTTCCTCACATTTCTGTGGTACGCACCATCGATCTTTGTACCTCAAACTCCCATCTTCGTGAATCTTGAAGTCTGTAGTTTTTCCCTGCTTAATTTTCTCGCGATACCTATCCAACTTTACATCTCCCTCTTGGTTGGCTCAAATCTCGTCAAATATTGTTGGTTGGATGCTTAGAATCGCAAGAATACCCGCTGGTACTCCCCATTCTACAGCCTTTAGATTCAATTTCATCGTTTCTCTACATAATTCATTAGCCACTACTAACGAGTTGATTCCATGACTAGTTTTACGACTTAGAGCGTCCGCAACCACATTCGCTTTCCCTTCATGGTATTGTATGTCTAAATCATAATCTGTCGTATACTCTAACAATCTCCGTTGACGAGAGTTCAAGTACTTTTGGGTGAAAATGTACTTTAAGCTTTTATGGTCTGTGTAAATTCTACATTTCACTCCATACAAATAATGGCGCCAAATGTTTAGTGCAAAAATGATTGCAGCTAATTCCAAATCATGGGTTGGATAGTTTACTTCGTGGGTCTTTAACTGCCTCGATGCATATGCAATCACCTTCCCATTTTTCATAAGCACGCACCCTAAACCATTCTTTCATGCATCGCTGTACACATCATACAGTCCACTATCATCCGGAAGTGTAAGTACTGGTGCTGTAATTAGTTTGTGTTTCAAGAGTTGGAACGCTCCTTCACATTTATTGTCCCACTCAAACTTCTTGTCCCTCTTCATCAAGGTGGTCATAGGATTAACAATCTTGGAAAAATCCTTGACAAAATGCCTATAATACCCTGCTAAACCTAAGAAACTTCGCACGTCAGATATTGTCTTGGGTGTAGGCTAACTCTTAACAGCTTCTATTTTGGCTGGATCTACCTCTACTTCGTCCTTGGACACGAAATGTCCCAAGAAGGCTACCTTTTCCAACCAAAACTCACACTTAGAGAATTTTTCGTAGAGGTGGTTTTCTCTTAGTGTTAGCACAATTGCCCTTAGGTGTTCTGCGTGCTCTTCCTTACTCTTTGAGTACACCAATATGTCATCTATGAACATGACTACAAACTTATCCATAAATTGATGAAATACCATACTCATCAAATTCATAAAGATTGCTGGAGCATTAGTCAATCCAAAAGGCATAACTGTAAACTCGTAGTGTCCATATCTTGTCCTAAATGCGGTTTTAGGAATGTCTTCGTCGGAAATCCTTAATTGGTGATACCCAGTTCTCAAGTCGATCTTTGAAAACATTATGGCACCCTTTAGTTGGTAAAAAAAATCATCGATTCTTGGTAAGGGATACTTAATCTTTATGGTTCCCTGTAGTCAATGCACAACCTCATACTTCCATCCTTCTTTTTCACGAATAGAACTGGTGCTCCCCAAGGAGAAGCACTTGGTCTAATGTATCCCGTGTCCAATAAATCTTGCAATTGCTCCTTTAATTCACTCATTTCTGCAGGTGCCATACGATATGGTGCCTTGGATATTGGGGCTGTTTCGGGAACTAAATCTATGGTAAAGTCGATTTCCCTCTTAGGTGGCATTCTAGGGATCTCCTCCGGAAATACATCCAGGAATTCGTTGACCACTTCTATGTTATCTGGATTTGTCACTTGTTCATGGTTCATATTCCTAACACTACAGAAATAAACTGGATGTCCCTTCTTCATGTATTTTGCTAATTTTAGCACTGATATTACCCTTGGGAACTTGGTTTTACCATTCATCCATTAAGTCACTGATTCATTTCCGCTTGTGACCATCTTCACTTTTTGTGATCTACAACTAATCTCAGCATTATACTTACTCAACCAGTCCATTCCTAGAATAAGATCAAAGTCGCTCAGCCCAAACTCAATAGGTTTTGACGGGAATATCTTTCCTACTATTTCTAAAGGAACATTTCTAAAGGTTTTGGTACATTTCACTACCCCACCTGTCGGAGTGGTTATGGGTAAATCTACTACTTCTACTGTCTTTAAACAGTCTTTAAGTTTTGAAACAATACCCTTAGAAACAAAAGAAAAAGTTGCACCAGAATCAAACAATACTTTAACAGGAGTAGAGTTAATAGAAAAAGTACCAGTGATAACATCTTTCGTGGCATCCGCCTCATGCTTACTTAGAACATTCAGTTTCCCTGCAGTTCCACCCTACTGTTGGCTATTTCCACTGGTGGTGTTACTGTTCTTCGACCCATTCCGTTGCACTCCCTTTTTCCTAGTAAAGTTGTTGTTGTTCCCTTAGAAATTCCTCTTGTTTCTTCCTGAATTATTGTTGTTTTCCCTGTTCCCATTGCTATTCTTGGAGAAACACTCATATTCCCTATGCCCAAGTTTATTACAAACACGACAGGCGACCAAATAAATTCTCCCATTCTTGTTATTCCCCTGGTTATTGTTTCTAGCCCCTCCATTGTTGTTACAGTTTCCTTGACGGTTATTACCCTGGAAGTTATTATTATTGTGAAAGTTATTGTTATAGTGGTACTTCTGCTTCTTAAAACCATTCTGGTTTCCCTGTTGGTTTCCAGAAACCTGCCCCACTTCCTTCCTCTTCTCTCTTCGTTCTATTTCAGCTAACTCCTTCTTCTTCTTTTCTTCTAAGGCATAAAGGTGTGCGACCCTTCCATATACTTCATCTAGGATCTCAAATACTTGCCCGCACAGCTTTAACTGCAAATTAGTAGTTAAGCCACTATCAAACATCCTAGCTTTTGCTTTTTCCGTAGAGACAGACCCTTCAGCAAAAAGGGACAACTGAATAAACTTGGTATAGTATTCCGTAACTGACATCTTCTCCATCTTAAGGTTTGAGAATTCCTCAGCTTTCTGCTTCCGCAAAAAGCTAGGATAAAACTTGTCTCTTACTTTCTCTTGGAATTTGGTCCAGTTGAACCCAGGTAGCGCTCTAACGGTAGTCTCGTTTTGTTGCCACCAAAGGTCAGCTTCACCCCTCGGATAGTAAGTAGCACAACTCACTTTTGAGTTTTCAGGGCATCCCACAGCTCCAAATAGTTTCTCAAATTCCCTCAACAAGTTTTCCAATATAATAGGGTCAGGCTCGCTTTGATATGTTGGTGGCTTACTTTGTGCCACCTTCTTAAAGAGCTCTCCTTGAGCATCCCCATTACTAGTTGAGTTTCTTGCCAATTGTTGGGCAACTGCTGCCAATTGCCTTACTACTTCATTCAAATCGTTTCCACCATTACCAGAACCTCTTCCCCCTGCCATTTTGCTTCTCCTGAATTGAGGAAAAGGGTTTATATTAGAAATGGCTATGTTTAGCTCTCAAGACATACACTCATCTATTACTTAGCACTCTTTAAACATTCACAGTAAAATTTGAAGCTAACAATTTTGGATAGCGAAAGGTAAGAATTCTCTTAATTTGTAGCTTTATCAATCAATTATTGATTGCTAACCAACCATACATTTAATAAAGCATCACATAGATAAAAAAAAAAATAATTCCCATAGATGTCCATAGCTTAGAAATATTCGTTGGGATTAAGTTTCTTGGAATTTTGGTCATTGGAATAGTGATGTGAAATGGGAGATTTGGAAAACAAATGAATTTATTTATTTAAAAAGAAATTTTGACAAGGAAATAAATAAGGTCTTATTAATTAAACTAGACTGAAATTAATAAAATAAAAATTGTTTTCTAGAAACTTGTGTGGTCATGCCACTTATTGATTTAAAACTGAAATAATAATAATTAAATTAAAGACTATGAATTCGTGACGAGGAAAGTTTTAAAATCTAATCCATTCGAACGTTGTCCCTTTTGTCAGTGGATTGTTTGCAGCTTGAAAGATGGAAATCAGAATCATTTTACTCTTCCATTGGTTCAGGTGACTTAGGTTAAGGTTCTACTTGTACAAACTCCCCTTCTTCCTCCTCATCCGATGAAATGTCTATTATTATTGGAGTTGGAGGTGGATTAGGATCAGAAATCTCCATAAGTGAACTATCTCCCTCTTGTTGCTCTCCATTTTCTGCCTGACCACCCCCTAACGAAGAAGAAGAATTTCCTGATTGTTGATTGAAAGAAAGATTGTTCCCTACTGGGTTATCGTAGTAATAGTAAGGGTAGGGAAGATTTAAGTGTTGACAATGAGCTTTCTCCACTCTTACGAGATATTTAGTTAAGAAAATATAATCTGGATACCACTGGCCATAATAGTCTTTGTATTTATGGTAATTCGGAACGTCTCTTGGAAGGCAAAAATCAGAAAATCTCTTTTTAACAGCAATGTAAGGGGGCTCCTCTGGAAGACAATGGACAATCATAGCCGAAATACGATCAGGGGTGTCATAAACTCTGTCTCATAAGACATTGCTCATGTAGGAACAAAAGTATCTTATCTTTTCTACAAAGTCGTAGGGGTGTTCATTATGTTTCTTTACAAGAGATCCCATTTGTGTAAATTTGCTAGGAAAGATTGGCATCCTGCAGAGAAAAGGCTTAGAAAAGAATTCCCTTTCCAAAAGAAATAAAATAAAATAAATAATATAGTCTTGTAGGAAATTAAGTTCGGTGTTCAATCATACAATTTCGAAGGGTCACATAGAATAATACACATATTTCATCCTTTCATCAACAAACATCTAGTCAACCAACATGCTTGAACACTCAAAATAAAATTATGCACATAGGGAATAAATTAAATTCTAGCCTATATGCCCTTTTTTTTTCCTACCCAAGCTCACCAACATGTTAATAAAAGATTTAAACACATAATTCTTACCTCAATCCTTGCTCCCTACAATACTTAAAAAATAATATTTTTACCCTTTTAAAAAAAATCGAATTTAATGAGAAGAGGGCCAAAATTTCGGCCCTACAAAAAAAAGGAAATAAATTTTCGACACTAAAAAAAATTCGAGTGTCCCTTAAAAAAATATCGGATCAAATAAAATAAATAAATAATTAAAAAAAATTTCGGCCGCTTTAAAAAAATATATACATATGTATAAAAAAATAAAATCGGAACAAATAATGTTGCATAATTAAATTAACACTTGGCCAAGTTTAAATCACAGTAAGAAAAACGTTTTCGGGTTAGTGGTAATTTAAAATCTCAACTTAGGCTCTAATACCACTTTGTAACACCCTAGAAATTCCTTTCCTTTAAATACCCATTCCACTCTTTAAAATACGATTTAGGAATATCTAAGACATTACCGCCACCGTAAAAACGGCTAAGGCAATTATCAAAGATACACAGCGGAAGACTCAGAATTAAAAACCGTTTAAACAAGTCAACTCAAAAGTCAACCAAACGAAAGTAAGGTTTAAAACCAAAAAAACAAAGTCAAATAAAATCAAACTACAACTTGGAACCATTAAAGGCCCTAATTCAAAACCGTTCCAAAAACCAAACCTTTGTGTTAGTCCACATAAAATATGTAATAAATAAATAAAACATAAAACACATCGTAACCTAATGAAAGCTAGAAAGATTCACTCTTCTCTCATGCCCCATCATGATTTTGCTTCAATACCTGAAAAGTTTATCTCTACTTGTGTCCACTACTCTCCATTAAAAATGGGTCATCAGAGGGCCATAAGCGTAAAGTTTATCACATGGCAAAACACACAACACAAACAATCAACAAAGCTGAGTACATAAGCGTAAATTAAACTCACTAACATGCTTTCACCTATCAACACACTTACCTCATCGCACCTATTTACAAGCACACACATCAATCAACAAAACACAATGACTAGACACTAAATAATTCATTTAGCGTTGATTACGCATCGAACGGGTTTCTAACTATCATCCCCCAAATAAAATGAGGTTAACTGACACGGGAGCTAACCGTGCCAGCGACAAAACCACTCAAAGGTGGCGGAATTCCTGCGCATAATAATAATTAAAAAGGAATGTACAACGTCCTGTACTCCATTAGAAGTTATGGTTAAATATAAAACCCCATAACTCCCCCCATTGTTCACACTCAAGGTATATACGTTCCAAGAGCTTTGGTGCGTAATCTCTTTCACTTTACGTTATTTACTTTTTATTAGACTTGTTGATGACTCTCAAAGCATAATAAAACAATCAACAATAATTATTCAATCAACCAAACATACCAAATTAATTCTAGAATAATTATTGACCACATATTATTTAATGTTGAACCCTTTTTAATTCTATCTCAGTGTCAAAGACACCTTAAACGCATAATGCGCCAAAAATCCTATCCTTCGGTGTTAAAAACACCTTAAGTGCACAAAGGCACCAACATACAATTTATTCCTTTTGTACATAGACACTTATATAGCTCCTTCCTCATGCTTAAAGCATCAATAAAAAGTATTTGAACCATAATAAAATTCTTTTTCAATATTCCTAACATAATTAAACATGTAGTTTAATTAATCATGCATTCTAACATGACATAAATAAAAGTGTGGTTCATACACAACATGCCAAACATTGATTTTTCAACTATTAACCCATCTCAAGTAAATCATACTTTCTAATTTAATCACCAATATCAATAATCCACAATTTCCAATCGTAAATCTTAGCATGATACTATTTAGGATTAATTAAATCAAGTCTAGCATAATACTACATCACCAAAAATATGCTAAGTACGCGTACGTACCTTCCAGCAATATATACTATTTTAAAACCCCTCATAATTCAATTAAAGTAAGCTGAAATTATATTTAAAACACCATAATTAAGTCCCAATTAATGGGTAATAAAAATTTCTTCAAGAAACATAATATTAACTGTTCTACATAAAATTCCAGCACTTTATTATAATTAAAACTTGCTGTAATTAAGCTTTAAATCACTTAAAACAATGGTCTACCCCATTATACATCATAATCCTTCAATAATACATAAATAAAGAACCTAGGGTTTTAAAAATTGGGGCTTTTTAATTAAAAACCAAAATCTGAAAATTAATTATCATAATTACAATAACGAAACATCAAAATTAAATCTCCAAACTCATAATTTACAATTATATTAAAGCATAGATTAGATTTGGGTAAGAAAGATTTGATTTTTTAAACTTTTTTTTTTTTTTGAAAAGATGTGACTGCCGACAGGAGGCTGGCGCCACTGCCGGCTGGTGCCAGCGCCGATGGTCGCCGCTGCTGCTGGTGGTTGGCGGCCCACTGGTGGTGGTGGTTGCCGGTGGTGGTGGTGCGCAAGCAAGAAGGGGAAGGGAAGGAGAGAGAAAAAGAAAAAGAAAGAAGAAAATAAAGAGAAAAGGGAGAGAAGTTTACCTTGGGTTTTCTCTACTCTGGGCAAAGTTGAATTGCCTCATAAGAGGGATATTTATACTCCTTCTCTATCACCTCTTTTTACCCTAACCTTTCCACCTTTAGTTTTTTCCTAATCCCTTCCCTACAAAAACTTGTTAAAATCATAATTTCTTAAAATAAAACCCCAACTTCTATTAAATAATTAATTAAACCAACTTTCCATTAGTAAAATATTCCCAACTTACATGGGATAAATAATTAAAACATCGTAATTAAAACACTAAAATTATTTAAATACCCTTATAAAATACATATTTTAAATAAAATACGTATAAAAATATGGGTTATTACATAGGCTAAGCTGGCCCAATCATACGACCCAACTAAATCAAGGCCGCGAATAGCAGGTAGGTAGTAGAGCAGCACTCGACTATTTCTGTCAGGAGAGAAGGCCCCTAACAATAGGATCAGAGCAAAAATGCGCACCTGCTGCTCTGGGGTGGTAGCATGATGCTGAAAAGCTATAACAAGCGTGCTCCGGCGGATGCATCTAGTGCTGAGTTGAGTTGGGTCAGCCTCGGCACGAGCCCGAATAGTTATGGGGTCCAACAGCTCAAGCACCTCCGGAGAGAAGACGGTGATATCGCTATTAAAAGGAAGATGGACAGAAGTTAACTCTAATCCCGTAATGAGACTGAGTCAGTAAGGGTAACGGTCAGCTCACCCCAAGGAATGTGAAAAGTTTTGGTGGTGTCTTAAAAGAACTCCATCAAAGCTCGGACTACGTGTTGACTCTGTCCGAAAGAGTACGTAGCTCGGGTGGCTCGCAATAATGAACTCAAACCACATGACTCCCACAGTAGGCGCAAACCGATGTCGTTGCGAAAATAGGTGTCGTACAGTGAGCCGATGGTCGTGTTGCCTGAACCATGGCTACGGAGCCTCCCGCTAAGGATCACTCGACGAACGCGCTCTGATATATGGAACAACGACATGAAATATAGAGTGTCTCATCCCACCCTAGAAACTCCCTAAGAGAAGAGGAGGTGCCTACGGGGTCGTCCTCCTGGCGAGTCTCCCTAGAACGAGGACGAGAACCCAAGCCTCGTTATCTTGCCATGCTATGTTATGTAAAAAAACTAGAAAATTAAGGTTCTATAGTATCAAAGGTTCGCCTAGCCGTATGATACTATGTTCGCAAAAACAGAGTACGTAGTACTAAAACAGAGCACGATTTCAATTTGAGCATAAATAGCAAATATTAGCGATCAAACAATTTCTTGCAATGTTATGATAAATATTGTGACAAATTTTGATAAAAATGGCAAGAAAAAACACGAAGAACAGTCCACATTGTTCTCACGAACTCAAGAGGGTCAACAATGGCGAATTGCTTGTTTCTTCACCAAATCGAGTGAAACAAGTCTCAAAACACTCTAAACATGATATAGAAACATAATCCTGCAATTTTAAGGCATAAAAATCCATAAATAAAGTGAATTAAACAATATGGGTTTGAAGTTTTCGAATACCTACACAAGAAACATCTCTGAATTCAGCAAAAATTGGTTTAAGTTTGAGAAAAACTTAAATGGATTCGGAAATTAGATGAAACAAGCTTTGGTTTGCAACAAATTGAAGTGAATTGGGTGCGCAAACGAGCGAGAATGAGTGTTTTGAAGTCCCGAGCGAACGCAAATGGCAGCAGCAGCAGCTTTCACGACAAATAGGGAAGAAAGGGGTTTTATTTCGAAAACCCAACCCCGTCGCCGAACGATAACTTTGTCGCCAAGCGCTGGCCTTCGTCGCTAGGTGACGGAGGAAAAATGTGGCGTTGATGATTTTCAGCTTGCGCTGGTATGGCAACAGAACACGTGGACCTCATAAATGATTATGTGGACCTTATGTGGCAATTTCGGGCTCCTTGGTACGCCAGTTAGCCCATGTAAGCAATTTGACATGATTAAGTAATCGGTTCGATAACAATTACATTGAGTAATCGACCTGCTAAAAGATCGTCTCACTTAGCTTAAAGCGCTTAAATATTGGCTTATCACGGAGGCACCGACATAATGGTTCATAAACAGCAAAGGCACCGACATAATGGTTCACAAGCAGCAAAAGCGTTGACATACTAGCACCGCGGAAAATTCAGCAAATGTCATGACATCAAAGTTCAAGCGAGCTTTAAAGATCGACGGGCGTTGATCTTCGGTAATTTTCTTCGGAATATTATCGCAATAATTGAGGATGGCTTCGGGCGAAGCAATCTTCGATCATGTTCCCTGGCTTGATGAAAATGGTCACAAGGCGATATAACATCGTTTCGGATAAAATAATCTTCAATAGTGTTTTTTGGCTTGTAGAAGACTATCACAGCGGAAATTGGAGGCAGTTACGAACGTAGCAGTCTTCAGGTAGTATCCCCTAGCTTGAGGGAGATAGTCAAACAAACGAAAGCTCATTGTTCAGAGACGAGTGAACATCAGCAGCGGCAAAGCAGCATGATGGAGTTCCCTAGATTGTGGAAGGTTGTCTCAACAACAAATGCAGCAACAAATCGGTTACCTATAGTGACGTGTGCTCGACGGTGCAAGATACGCGTTTCTTAACTCTCTTATCTGTTTTAACTAATGCTAGTTTTCAGGTATCGGCGTTCGTTACAAGAATGATTTAGGTATGCAGAACGTTCTGAATCATTCTCCGTCCCTATCGTTACTTTGACTTTTGTTTTTGAAATTTGCGTTTCTCAAAACTCAGTCAAAGTGGGGGCTTCTGTAGACACCCAAATGTGTCTACCAAAAACCAAACCCAGTGATAATACCTTTCACGTCATTTGATTATCAGACGAGGTAATAGTGTGGAAAGTATAATGATGAGGCTGTTTTATTAAAATATTTCTCTTTCTGTTTACCAAAAATATTTCTTTTCTTACTCCTATTTTATGAAAAATATCCTGTCCAATTTGGTTTGATCCATAATAAGGGTCCAATAATAGTGTAGTTGGATTGGGCTCAAAACGAGCTTTCTAATGATATATTATAGGCCCAATTCCGATGACTTAGGAGGAAGTTATGAATTATATTAAATTAGGCCCAATGATTTTTAAAGGTGGCCCGATGATCTAGAGGAGGGCCTATTAACTATTATTTTAAAAGAATGTTTTATAAATCTTATTTCGCAAAGTGCTCGGACGCTTAATTACCTGCAACTGGTGTTAAAGGTAATTACGCGTGGAAAAGCGCGTTGACTTTTGGACCAGCGCAAAACGACAGAGTCGTCGCCAGGCGCTGACCTTTGTCGCCTGGCGACGAGCTCGTCGTTTTGCGCTGGCTTCTGTCGTTTGCGACATGAGGAGTTTTATTCCGAATATGATTTTCTTTGATTCCGTGATATTTTTCTTATAAATAGGGGTCGTATCTCCTTGTTTTCAAATCATCTACATCTATGAACACCTAGAACTCTCTAATTCTCTCTCTAAAAGCTAAAAGCTTTCTTTCTCTCTTTTCTTTTTCTAAACCTTCCCTCTCTCAAAATTCCTCAAACGTCAGCTTTAGAAATATCTAGCCAAGTTCAAAGTTGCCTTCACCCTAGACGTGAAAGGTTTGATATTTCTGAGGGTTTGGTCCCTAATGTCTATTTCAACTATTTAATTTAATTGTTTTAATTATTATTTTTTTCCTTGAAGTTACTAACGTGTGTATTTTGTTATTAGAAAGAGTTACGAGGCATCGAAGTAAGTACTTTAATTTTTTTATTGCTGTTTTGATATAGAAATTATGCTTAGGATGTTTTATTGATTTTTAGTATCATGTTAGGATGTTTTATTGCTTCCTAGTATCATGTTTAGGATTAATTAAATTTCTAATATCAATTATGATTATTATGATGCTTCCTATGTTTTTCCTTATATCATGTTAGTGTCATGTTAGGGGTAAAGCTTTGATTTTTATTGTTTAGTGACATGCTAGGGGTTGTTATTAATCTTATTAGTATCATGCCTAGGATCTTGCTATTAATATTATGCTTTAACATGACTACTCCTATAATTGTTATTATTATGATTATTCAATATTTTTATGATGTTGCTTGATGTTTATTATTGTTATTGCGTGATCACGCCTTTTATGCATGTTTAAAGGGAATCTATACTTGTAATCACGCTTAATAAGATAATTAATAATTTTTTTTAGGGTTTATATGATTATAATTCAAGTGATCGCTAGTAATAGATTTGTTTGTGCATTAATATTCAACCAACATAGATTAAACAAGTTTAGGGTTAACCTATTGATTGTATATTAGTTAGAAAGCGCACATGAATACGAGAAGAATAAAGTAAAGGCCTATTATTAGGGCAGGTTCAATCTCTTTTAGGTTGGATTTCTACCTTCATCCCCGAATTTCCAGTCATGGTTCCAGACCTATTTGAGTTAACGACTCCTTGATCGTTAAGGGGTGTAATCTTCCTAAAACTTGTCGGCGACTCTTTTGCTCTAGCTTCCTTCCCTTTCACTAGTGGAAAAATAGTTATCCGTAACGGGCAAAAATAGCCTATCCGTAACAGGCAGCGGGCGTTACGTATGCTGCCGTTACGGATAGGTTATGTTATTCGGAACGGGCAGTGCCCGTTACAAATAACAGGTTGACTACCCGTTACGAATAACATGTTATTTGTAACGGACAGTTTGACTGCCTGTTACGAATAACCCGTTATTTGTAACAGACAGTTTGACTGCCCGTTACGAATAACCCGTTATTTGTAACGGGCAGTCAAACTGTCCGTTACAAATACAATTGAACCCAAATTTAAAAAAAAATGCAGCAGGTGATACCTGCTACACTACTAACCTGATAACATTTTATGATGCCAAATTTTAATTACTATTATCAATATTCAATAATAATAAATGTAAAATTTAATTAATTATAAAATCAAAGATACATTTTTACAACAACTCCCTAACATGAGTCAAAAGCTACTATATAAATAATAGTCCTTAATACAACATGAAAATTTATAACTATATAGAGTGAATAGTTAATTTGTATGCGAGGCTCGACCAACTGATAGAAGATGAATGCACCCTTTGTGTGAACAACATTAACCACTTTCTTCCTTGCTTCGACTTGCTCATTAGTGTAAATTCCTGGGCAATGGGGAAATCTTCAGCATAATTATGTTTTTGTTAGACACACGACAGTGATATTTTTAATAGGAAGACCACAATATGAACACATATAGTGAGCTAAAATCAGAAGAATTTTACTAGCTAACTGTAAAAAACATAGGATGGGAACCAGAAAACTAATTTGGTTTTTCCAGTCCAGGTTTGTTAACTGATAATTTCTCAAGTAGCATTGAAATTCATTTTCATAGCACAAGAACTAAGAAAGGGGTATAGTATGCCTAGCTACTAATCCCCACCTCCCCGTCTGAGCGTCATGGCCCATCTATTTTATAAGATGGAACGAGGTTAAGCCTGTACATTTCAATTTCAAAATCCAAAAAGCCAGAAAACAGCAAAATGCTTCTTTTTTCATCCATTCTCATTCATATATTCACAACCATACATAATGGGGTTACTCAAATTGCTACAATATCTTACATTTTGAGCTCAATTATTTGAAATATAAGTGGGAAATTAACTGTACAAGAAATAAATTCAATCATTTAAGCAGAAATACAGAGATGAGCATTAAAATTCATTTTTATAGCACAAGAACTTCCTCACCCAAAATTCAGCAACACGAGTCACAATGTAGAAAACGTTACCTGGGTCTTGGACTCCAACATTGGTGATATGGAAGGAGTGGACGACCCACTTCAAGTAGCTACCGTGCTAAGACTTCTTGAGTGGCAAACCTTCTCTCAAAGCAACCTCGTCAATTTGGATAACATTGATACCAGCCTTCTCAAGATCCTTAACCTCATCCTTGATGGCCAAAGCAATTTGGTAGCAAGTCTCTTGCCTGAATACACAATAACACAAATAAATATATGAGAAATTGAGCCACAATCAAAACAATCTATTTGAACAGAGTTTTATTATAATCCCAGTTTCTGAGGATCTAATATGATATTCACAACCAAAGTAATTGTCACAAAACTATATAAAAAGTAAGTGTTAATAATAAATAAAAAAAGAAATAAGAAAAACTTATGGCAAGCAAAATGTAGTAGCATTGGGGTTACCTCATCCTTCTAACCAGACAATGCCTTGGCCAAAGCGTTAACTTCAACAACTTTCTGTGCAGCAAATGCAAGCCATGACTTGATTTCATCATCAAGCTTTAAGTCTCGTTAACAAGATCAACAATAGTGTGAAGAAGTGAGCAGGAAGTGGAGACCACAAGCTTGTCTGCATGCAAAGAACAACTAATTAAGTCAGCCAAACATCTTTATTAGGCGACATAAATTTATTTGTTTGAGATACAAGTTAAGTCACCCTTAGCAGGCTTGGACAACAACAAGTAGGAGACAAATATAAAACAGAATAATTTAACCAATTTCACAAGGCAATTTAACCAATTTCATAAGGCGATACAACAATTTATTGGTCCATTATGCACTACTAATACACTATAATAAACAAATATAACGCAGTATAATATAAACATTTGACTCATATTATTATTCAAAAAACCCTAAAATTAATAAATTCCAAGGTTCAAAAGCCAAATTCAATCAAACATACTAGAAATTAGGGATGATCCCCGATAGATGTTCAAAAGCCAAATCAAATTCAATTAAATCAAATCAATACCTTTCTTGACATTATTCCATGTCAATTTCGCTTTCTTTCCTTCTGTTCAAAATCAAATTGGGGAAAATTGTTAACTTCTTCACCATTAAATTAAAATTAAACCCTAAATTGCAAAATTTCAGCATAAAATATCCCAAAAATCCAGTATCCAGAAACTTAAATCAATTAAAAACAACATAAATTTCAAAAAATAAAGTTGAATCAACTCAAACAATCATCGTTTACCACATTCAAATTGATAAATCTTCCACCTTAATATTCGATGATTACAAAGACAAAAATCTTACCTAGCATCAGTTCGTTCAATGACTTAGATCTAAAGATGAAGAAGCCTACGGGCTTGGTTGTTCTCAACGTCGCCATTATCGACGCTAACCGGGTTCGGACCCTAGTCGAACCGGAGTGGGTTTTTGAGCAAGAGTTCTGTCACCGCCGGTTACACCTCCGCCCAAAACGACGCCGCTTGGGAGCTCTTATATGAAGCCGCCGGTCAAGTTGCTTGTCTCAAGATGAACATAATCGCTACTCAAGTATTGGAGATGGGAGGGAAGGAGAGGAGAGGTGAATGACGGGGAGGAGAGGAGAGGAGAGGAGAGAGAGAGGGAGTGAGCGATTGATGAGAGAGAGAGAGAGGGAGTGAGAAACTGATGAGAAAGAGAGGTGAAACCCTAAAAAGAAAGTATTGGGCTCCTCTCATTATTTGGGCCAAGTTTGGGCATCTATGTAATATAGTATTCGTAACGGGCAAAATATTGTCCGTTACGAATACTTATTTATTCATAACGGGCAAAATAGTGTCCGTTACGAATACATTATATTCGTAACGGACACTATTTTGCCCGTTACGAATAAATAAGTATTCGTAACAGACACTATTTTGCCCGTTACGAATAAATAAGTATTCGTAACGGACACTATTTTGTCCGTTACGAATATCTTAATCGTAACGGGCAAAGCTTTGCCCGTTACAAATAGGCTGTTACGAATGAGATTTTTTCCACTAGTGTTTGGACGCCACCATGCTGAAGTGTATGATCACTGTGGGGCTCAAGTGTGGGATGGCTTGAAATATTCCCTACAGTTACTCAACACATTTGACTTCTTCTCATGATAATTTTCAAATTTTATCATGTCTATGCTTCTAGCGCAGTGTCTGTTATTAGAATAATTCAAGTAAGACCAAAATGCCTCTTCAATCTCCGTGAAAATCCATTACAAAGGCCCTTAATATGTCTTCTCACGATATGTATTTCCTAACGTTCACCCAATATTCTTTGCACACTTCTTCAAAATTTCAAAAAGAGTTATGTCGTTTATGACAACATTTGTAGGTGCTCCATGGAGCTTCATCACCTTCTTGACATAACTTCCTACAAATTCATCCACTGCAATTGAACTTCATCATCCCCCCCTTTTTTTAAAAGTAAATCAATATGCATTCAAATCCATTGAGATGCAAATCCTATCCTGTACTCATATCTCGAGTGGATGTATAACATTCTCTTATACTCAATCTTTACTTCTTGCCAAATCCAATGTTTGATCAAAAAATTTCTAGTTCATTAATAATTCAAGGTTGCCAATACACTTTCTCAACTTTTCATACACTTCTAGCTTCTCCTTGTAGGTGCACTAAAATATAATGAGTTGTGTCCTTCATCCATGAGATTTATCTTTAACTTCATCACATTTACCACCTGCTTTATTATACCAAGGTTCCATATTCATTAATATTACTGTTACCCTTCCTTGATTAACTTTTCATAATGCTGACCGACTTCAACACACGAAATTAGCTTTCCTTTATCTCCTCCAATTAAGCAAAGATCTCTTCCTTTACCAAATTTCGCAGCAATTCTCTAATGATCTCTTTATCCACTATTTCAAGCTTTAACCTTTTCATTTCTTACACAAATTCCAAGTTACAATCATTGTATTCACTGTAGACTCAACTTCAGACTGCGACAACCCCAACTGCGTAGGACTTCCCTTCGTGATATTGAATGTCCAACTAGTATTCCTTAATGGCTCTAACCATTTCAATTAATTTTGTTAGTATCTTTCTTTCACAAAAGTACACTTTTTCATTCTTGTGATCCTCGTGAGATTTTAAATATCACACCAAGAACCTTTCGTTATGTAATCCCTCTCTACTTCCAATCGTGACATACTGAACCAAGAAATTTGAATCCCAAACACCCATAAAAGTGTAGGTTAATCCTTAACAGCTTTCATCTTTCCTTGGTCTAAATTTGTGCCTTCCTTTTCGCAACAAGTACCATTTGAAATTCCGCTTTCTCCATTCAAAACCCACACAACTGTCTATATCCCTAGCATTATGTTCCATATCCAAAACGTATAAAATGTCCTTGATAAACTCTGTGAATTTATTCCAAGAATAAAGATACTCGATTACTCAAATCATAACAATGGAAATGTAATCACCGACTCAAAAAACACGATATTAATCTTAACTCATTGTTCTACTAATGTTCAACCTCGTTACATCCTCAAAACTATCATTATTCTTTCCCATTGATAAACCAAGTGCGCATCTTTGGTAGAAATTACTCATGTATTATTAGCACCTTGTTCAGCTCCTTAAAATTCCTACACAACCTCCTACCTTCACCCTTATCCTTTAATCAATCACGCCTATACAAACGCTTCCCTAAGCGATGCAACTTCTTTTTAAAAATTCATGACAATTTTACTCTCAGCTCCCTTAATTTCTCATCAGCCGATAAACTTTTGTCCTTTTCTCTATAACAATGCCCATATTCATTCTAAATCTTTAAATTCCATAATTTGCTTCTCGCAATTTAGCACCTTAACTCTATAAAGTTTCAACAAGTCACAAGCTTTCCTTTATTTGATGTTTCTTTTATATAAATCATTCGTGGCTCACCAAGACTCTCATAGAATAATCACCATGTCAGGATTTCCTCTATCGAGTTCGACATTAAACTTCCTCCAAATAAAATCCCAAATTCCCGATTAAGCAATCCTCATCCATTGAAGTGTACCATTTTCTATTAATTCAAGAAATTTTTAAAGTTCAAGAATCGTTCACGTTAACTCTTCCATATCTTCGCCTTGAAAATACAATGCTTATATATTTGTTCATAAGAATTCATTTGACCATTTTCTTGGTTGTTACCATTTAATTCCTAGACGCCTTATTTCTATTCCATCCTCAAACTTAACACTTGTACTTCTAAAAGAATATAAACAAGATGTCTCTTCATATATATAATCTTGTCGCAAAGACTTATTCTAAACAACTCTATCGATTGAAATCCATATTCAATCCTCTTCCAAGTTTGTTCACTTGTTCATCATAGCCTCCTTAACAGAAACCACTTCCTCAAGTGTTCTCTATGTAACTCTATGTAACTCTATGAACTCTAACTATTATTATTGTTGTCAAAGACAATCCTTTACTTCCAAATCCATTTTAACTTTGATACCTTTTCTTATAAAAAACAACCATGGACAAGCAAACATTTTCTGAGTTATGCCCTAAGGCTTGCAATTATACTTGGGCGTGTCCATCACTTCATCGTTCTTTCATTCCCTTGCATTAGCTCTTAAGGTGTCTTTATGAATTATGGTTATGGTTAGCTAATTTATCAATTCCTCACTCAACTCTCCTCCATCATTGTTGTTACCACCTCCCCCTATCATCCTTCTTTTCCTGTATTGAAATAAGGATTTATATTAAATATGGTCTTTGTTAGTACTCAAGATGTACTCATCTATTCACTAACACTCTTGAAACATTCGTAAAAATTTGAAGCTAACAAATTGGGATAGCTAGAGCTAAAAATTCCCTTAAATTTGTAGCTTTGTGAATCCATTTTTTTATTGTTAACCAATCATACATTTAATAAAGCATCATATAGATAAATAAAAATAATTCCAATAAATCTCTATAGCTTAGAAATAACTCATTGGATTGCTTTTGGGTGAGGATTGGCTCTTTGGGATAGTGACATGAAATGGATAATTTTGGGAAGTGAAATGAATTAAGTGTCAATAAAATAAATTAATTGACAAGGAAATATATAGAATTTTATTAATAATTAAGGAAATTGAATAGAGTACTAAAATAAAATGATTTCTAAAATCTTTTGCATTACATAAGCTCACTAACTCACTCTGGTCATGCCACTTATTACTTTACTAAAACTGAAAGAAATGACAAGCAAAAATGAAACTAAGAATCCTTAAAATAAATGAAACCACAAAAATATAATCCTTTTGAACATTGTCCCTCTTATCTGTGGACTGTTTGTAGCTTACAGGATCGAACTCGAGACTATCTGTCTCCACCATGGTTTAGTTGACTTTGGTTCAGGCTCCACTTGATTGAACTCTCCCTCTTCCTCCTCATCAGATGAAATATCAACTATAATTAGGGTTGGAGATGGATTTGGATCACAAATATCCATAAGGCTCCATAAGGGAACTGGTTACAGTGTTGTTACTCTCTTCCATCGCTTCTCCCTCTTCTTGCTCTCCATTTGCCCCTGCTCGATTTCCCGTGGAAGAACAACTACCTGACTAGTGGCTAGAAGAAGAGGGATTATTCCCCACTGAATTGTCTTAGTAGTATTTTGGATATGGGATATGCATACGACGAAAATGAGCTTTCTCAAATCTAATGAGATAAGTAATGAAGAATCGGTAATCCGAATATAACTGACCAAAGAAATCCTTATTGTCGGAGTAGTTTGGGATGTCCCCAGGAAGGTAGAAATCAGAGAACATTGCTTTAACAACAAGATATGGTGGCTCATCCGAAAGGCAATGAACGATCATAGCAGAGATACGATTAGGAAGGACATAAAGTTTGTTTCTGAGGACATTACTCATGTAATAATTATAGGGGTGTTCATTATTTTTTCATAACAAGAGTACCAATTTGGTTGTTTTTGCAAGGGAGGTTCGACATCTTGTAAAGGAAAAGACTTAGAAAAGGATTCCCTTCCCAAAGAAAGCAAAAATGACATAGTTCTAGCATGAATTAGGTTCAAGGTTCAATCAAACAATTTTCTTATGTCTAATCACATAATTACATGCTCACAAGCAATCCATTCTCATGATTAAACATCACAGCCTAAATATTAATGCACACAAGAACATGATTATTTCTAACTTATATTCCCAAATTCTTTCCTACCCAATCCCACCAACATGATTTTAAAAACTTTTAACACATTATACTTACCTCAATCCTTGCTTTCCTGAAAAATGAACAAAGTAAAAATAATAAAAATAAGCTCCGAAAAGACTGGAAAATTTTGGCCCTTTTAAAAAAAAATTCGGACACCCTCAACAAATAAATGTTTTTTCGGATATCCCCAAATAAAAAAAATTTAGATTTCTCCTCATAAAAAAAATTAGGATTTTTAAATTAATTAAATAAAATATTCGATCTTCTTAAAACAAAATTAAATAAAATAACTGACTTTAAAAATTACACAATTAAACATGTACTTGGCCAAGTTGCAAAACAAAACACTTGAAAACACGTTTTTGGCTTTAGAGGTTATAAAATCTTAACAAAAACTCTAATACCACTTTGTAACACCCTAAAAATTTCTTTCCTTTAAAATACCTGTTTTTCTCTTTTAAAAACTGATCAAAATAGGAAAATTTAAGACATTACTGTTACCGTGAAAACGACTAATGCAA